TGGGGTATCATTTGCGGTTGCAATTCAATATGATTTTTTTTATACTTTATATTCTCAAAATTAGATTGGTTGGTAGAAGTAAATAACATTTTAATTTATTATTTTGCACCTTCAAAAAGGAAAACTCAATAAAAAATGAGGAGGTCACCATTAATTTTAAAAATTCAATTTAGTGTGTCTTGTGAATGATTTATTGTGCTTCGAAGGTACAAAATGCCATTAATCTTTTTCAACGATATAAAATGTCAAATACTACAGTTCAAGGTGTAAAGTTGGATTAAGCCAACTCAAATTAGAAAAAAAAATGTTAGATGAAAGTCGTAATTCTATTTGTTGGCTTTCAAACCACAACTTAAATCTGTGCAAATTGGAGTTTGGATAAAAAAAAGTTTTGATGAAAATGTAATATTGTTGTAGCTTTGAAATTAGTAAGCTATTGCATTTTGGTTATGATATAATCGGAATTTCATGACACTACGAATACAAAAGTTGTAGATTTTTTTTTGGGTTGCCTTTTCAACACAATTTGAATCATAAAATCGGATTTCAGATGAACATACTAATGATCAAAATGGTACACTTCCTATATTTAATTTTCCATAAGTTAACTATTGGTTTCTCAGAGGTGAACTGTCAAATTTTGGAATTTATGATATAAATCAAATTAACACACGTGACAAACGAAAAGCTTCTCGATCAATTTCATGTCTTTCTAACTCACCGAAATCGGAATTTTAATGAAGTTATGATGAAAATAGTACACACCAACTCTATCCAGTTCTTCGTACTGTCGAATTTTGTCTATAATCTAATTCAATTTTGTTTTAAATGCAAAACATAAAAACTTGTTGATCTATTTGTTAAATTTCTAAAGCAACTTAAAGCACTGCAATTGGTATTTGGATTAAGTACTTATGATGAAAATGTTACACTCTCTTCAACTTTTTTCATAAATTCACTATATGTTTAAAAATGTTTATTGCGAATTCGACATTAAAAAAATGATTTTGATAAATACACTATCGATTTCAAAATGTTTTGTTTTATATCAAATTTCGACATTTAAAGGGCACAAAAAAAGGTAAGCGCGACCAGAAGTTTACAGTTAAATTAAAGAAGGGAACAGCTAAAATAAATACCGTTTATTTCTCGCTTCAATACCACCAACATAAAAAATAGAAAATCAATATATAATGACATTAATACCCTTAATAAAATTAATACCAAACAAATTTTGTATGTATGTGATATGTTATTATCTATTTATTTTTTATTTTATATGTTAGTGGAATTGAAGTGAGAAATAAACGGTATTTGTTTTAGCCGCTCCGTTAAAAGAAATCAACAAACATGGAAAGTTTCAGAAATCATTCTACAAGAAATAGTTACGTTTCATTCAAGCGCTAAAGTTGTCGAAAAAGTAGACTAAAACGCAACAGTCTTAAGGGGAAAATAAATAAATGTAATGTATATATATAAGTAGCCAGAAATCGGCACATAACATTATTAACCAGAGCATTTACACGACACTTTCCGGGAAGTGATTCTATGTACTTGCTATTCGAGTGCATGTATATTTTCATTATGACTACATAAGTGTATGCAATGCAATATATCATAAAGCAATATCCAATGCAAACAATTGGTTAATTTACAACAATTTAATAAAGAAGATGAAATCCACAACAATTTCAGAATGAAGGCTTTATCCTCTCCAACAACATCCCTGCTTCAACAAATCCCCCAAGTGGCCCTAAAGACGAGTATTTTAACTCTCTCCATCTGTTTTAATAAGATTATATATACCATCACATTTTCCTCGAAAAAAAATTAAATTTTGAAGTCGAGATAAAATATTATATTGTTACCTGGGAATAAACGGAAGTGCCAAACAGTGAAGATGCAGGTGATCGATACTATTGAACGGAGGCTGGTGGAACCCAAATCTGATCAAATCGAAATTTTTGAACCTCAATTCATTTTTTTCCCAATCTTAAATACGAGTTCGTAAAAAATCAAATTGCTTGCAAACGTTTGGAAATTTTTGCTTGATTAATTGTGAGATTTTTGCATTCACATTTAGTACTGCATAATTATTTAATTAACTTCATTACTCAGTAGTGCTTAATGTGAGAAATTTGTAAATATTACTAATCAAGAACTTCATATTTTAATCATTTTTATTAATTAAATTGTTTAGTTATGTTTTTAAAATCATAATAAAAGAAAAATCAATTATTTATAAAAGGAAATGAAGATTGAATTGTGCGCAATATAGAAGAAGCATACCTATACTCCTTTGCCTGAGGTGCATCTCTTTGCAATAGGGTTTGACCAACATTTAACATGTGACTGACTACAAGTACAACAATGCGAAATCAAACATATGAAATAAGTTATCCTAAACGGAAAAAAGGCACTTGTTACCTAATGTATAGTCTTCTGATCTCTTGTGAAGATCGTTCACTGTTGGAATGTGCTCAATCGGAATCACCAAGTAATGCCTAATTCCCAAATAACGGTGGTTTGTAAGAAAATAGCAGTTATTTATATACGACCAATGTCCTTAATAATGTTTCCCACAATATAAAAAAGAAAAAAAATTGCGTTAAAGAACTTAGTCGATGCTAACCTAAATAGCATGTTCATATCTCGAAAGATAATTCACGAAAAGAGTTTAATAATTTGAATTTTTTTGTAAAAATGGATCTACGTAACAAGCTTAATGGACTTGTTCCGAATTTGAAATCTTTAGTTTCGAATTCATCAATCTAAATGAAGTTCTAGTGTAGGAAACCATTTAATTGTTGTATTCTATAAAAATCCAACATCACCACCAATTTGTCTGTACTAATAATCAATCGGGAACTCGTGAAAAAGAACAAGATAACACGTTCACAGTTCACAGTATATTCCTTCGACAGTCAATTGAATTAATCAAACACGTAACGATTTGCATAACAGATAATAAAAATGATAAAAATGGAACAAACAAAAAACAAGGGTATAAATAATTGACCTGAACGCAGATGGATTAATATCTTGAAAAGCAATAACTTTATGATCCTGCTTAACTCAATAAAGAATATTATTACTTTTCAAGAATATATACACACATGTATATTTATTTATCAATAAATACGTACAATGTAGAGAGAGAGAAAAAACCCGAGACCTGGTGAAGGAGGATGGTGGATGTTGAAGAGCGGGCGATTTGGCAGAAGATACACGACGATGCCGCCATTGCCACACTCTTACCAACTGCTTTACTTATTCCACTATTCGATGTTTTTTTTATAAATTAAAAAAAAAAATGGCTGTACAATACTAGCAATAATCTAAGTTAGAGGGTGTTCAAAATATATCACATGATAATTTAAAAGCTTATAAATTATCAAGAAAGGTAGTTGTTAAGATAATTGCTGTGCCCGGAAATCTAACAAATTTAATAAAATATTCATCCTAAAATACTTATTATTCGTTCATTTTCAGTAGTCTGAAGACTCGACTGAACCAATCCATCATTATTACAAATAATTGTCTGAAAATAAGGTGCAACTGAGTTAGGTCAATTTTAACATAATATAATCGGATCGATAATCTCATCCCATAATCCAATTTAGTTGACAATCTACAAAATAACTTAATACAGTAGAATCTCAATAAATTAATACTCGATAAAATAATAACCTCGTTTAAATAATAATTTATTACGGTCCCCACTCGGTAAAAACGTACTAACTTTATTAACTCGATAATTTAATATTTCGCTAAATTAATAGTCGCAACTGCATTAATTTGTAATGAATGGCTTCTCATTTCCCAAAAAAATGTAAAAAAAAACAATTTAAGTTTCACTACAGAAAATTAAAATAACACAAAAATTTATAAATTTTGAATTCTTAAAGTTTTCTTTACAAAGCAAAGCAGATGAATTTAACACAGACTATCCCCAATTTTTTGAAAAAAGACGGATAATTATTTACACAAATAGGGTACATTAGCAACACCCAAAGGCAGTAACAAGTCAAAATCATCATCAGCTATAACTTGTAAAAATAAAGTAAATAAATAAATAAAAAAACATGTGGAGTTGCGAAAATGGTGTAATAACATGAGAAACGAAAATGAGAGGGAAAAACCTGGAGAATCAAAAGAAGGAACCTTTGGGCAAAGCTGCCGGTCAGCCGCCGAATGCTTCCGATGCCGGACGGGAGCGGAGTAACGGCAGTCAACGGCGGCGGAGAGGGGCTGATTTTGCTTTGAGGAGTGACAAGTTCTGAGAAGGCCGCCAATTCGATCTCTATTCATCGGCGACAATTTCTTCGTTACTTATTCTCGGGTAGTTGCTTCGTAATTGATATAGTCAACTTTTTTTAAATTTTTTTTGAGGAAATTGATGTAGTCAAGTCAACTTATGTTACCGAGTCAATGGATTTTACCGATTCATCCACTCTTAACTCTTAAGTCATGCCGGAGCATCTTCGACCCATTTCTATATCCTATATCTTTTATCTAATTCTGATGTTTTTAACGTCCCAATTTAAATTCTTAAATCAGCATTACACCTAAAATTATGATAATATAGTTTTAGTCTCCATGGTCAAACTACATATTACCATATTACTAAATCCTATATTTTCACCAAATTTTTATGTAAAGAAATTTGCAACTCCCACCCTACTACTAATTTACCATTTTTTTCACCAAATCATATTTTTTCTATCAAATATAGAAATTAAAATAGAATTTGTGTAATTAACACCATTTTATAATTATCATATAAAATTATTATATTAACTAATTTCATGTAATTACCAATTTATAAATATATTTATAGAAAATATATTAGTGTTAATTAATGAATTAGTGTTCAAAAGATAAATACATTTATTATTATTATTATTATTATTATTATTATTATTATTATTATTATTATTATTATTATTATTATTATTATTATTATTATTATTATTATTATTATTATTATTATTATTATTATTATTATTATTATTATTATTATTATTATTATTATTATTATTATTATTATTATTATTATTATTATTATTATTATTATTATTATTATTATTATTATTATTATTATTATTATTATTATTATTATTATTATTATTATTATTATTATTATTATTATTATTATTATTATTATTATTATTATTATTATTATTATTATTATTATTATTATTATTATTATTATTATTATAATAAAAATATGTATGACTCTAATTAGTAATCTATTAAAACAATTAATATGATTATTATCAACCACCAACAACAACATTATCATAATTAACTACAAGACTAATTATATTAATGAACTACTCCATATACTACTTAGCACGTTTTTTTTTTCTTTTCTAGCCAAAATAAAATTTTATTGATTCAAAGGGGCCTCGTTAAAACTTTGTTTGGCCTAACAAGGAAAGAGTACCCCTTATTTTCTAAGATTAATAGTTTTGTCTATCATAGTTCGAATTAGAGAAATGTCCATCGCCAGTAGGTTCACCATAGTTGCATTCTCTGTTGTTGTTTGGAGATTCCGGGACGTAAACATCTTCATCACTTGGTCCACTTCTCTCTCCACTAAGATTCAATTCCTAGCAGCTCCTGACCTGCTTCCCCTATCAATGATGGCTATTTCTTATCACTCCAGAATTGTTTACTAAAGGGTGTGAGAGTACTCAAATCTACTCCCATAACCTCCATATCTTGTTCAGAAGCTTTTAATTTTAGTTTTTTTCCCTAGTGTCTATTTTTTTATGCTTAGGGCTCGCCAATAAATCTGAACGGGCGCTTCACTTTTTCTTTGTTGGTCGATCCATAGCATATTTGAGTTTTTTATTTGTTAATTTCGTTATGCAGTTTGCCGTGTTCAATTAAATTGGTATTTAAGTTCGATGGTTCCGTAGCAGTAAGAAAAGTGTCGTGTGTTTCGAGATATAATTGTTTAGTTAATTTTGTTTGCTTGAAGTGGAGTACTTTATGTCCTGGTAATTTTACGTTAACATACAATTTGTTAAATCACGGGGAATGTATGTTGGCGGATGACGACGATGTTGGCGTCATGATGGAGTATATTGAGAAATTTGTGATTGATGAAATTTGTGTTAATGTCAAGTTGAAAGATGGTGTCAAGTTAACAACACTCTTATTTTGTTTCACAAAATCTCTCGTTTAGATTTCGAGATTGAAATTTCGAATTCAGACTTTTGATTCAATTTGACAGACATTAAATTAAATTTTGTGATTTTTTAGGGTTGATGGTGCAAGATTGAAGGAGAAGATGACCATACAGAATGTGATTGAGCCCGATTCACATATTTTCTCTTTATTTGCTCATCAGGAGAAGATTTCATTTAGTTTTTTTTTTTCGTGCAAACCTAAACGAGTACAAAATGGCTCGCTCGTTCTCCGCCGCTAAATTCATTCCTTCTTTCATCGCCAGAGCAGTTCCGTATCTAGAGGCTCACGGACATCGACTAAATCTGATTATCTTGAGACGAAAATTGTGTTTGTTGTTTGCTATTTTTTTACTCTTTGTTGTTATATATTTATTTTTTGTTGTTAGTATGGTACTATTTGCACTTTGCTTTTAATTCTTGCAGTTTACGTATATAATGTATATTTTGCTCGAATATATTTTTACACTTTTGATGCTTTTATTTACTGTTTTAAGTTTTTTTTTCATACTTGATTGTCACTGTTAATATATGTTCTGTAAATATCAAACTTTAACATCCATTCATAATACAAACATCAAACAACAAAACATCATTTTATAATGTCTATATCGAACAACAAACATCAAGTTTTTTTTTTCATTTATTTATGTCAATTTGCACATTTTTCGATGTTGGTGGATTTTTGTTTTGCGTTTTGCTGTTTCTAGCAATATTTTACACTATGATGTTATATTATTTTTTGAGTTATTGGCATGGTATTGTTTGCACTTTTGATTTTTATGTTTGCAGTTTGCATATACGATGTGTTTGTTGCTCGGATATATTTGTGCATGTTGATGTTATATATGATGTAATTTTTTGGTATGATATTATCTACACCTTTGACGCCATATATTTGTTTTTGCAGTTGGTATTGTATTATTTGAACTTTGCATTTTATTTTTGCAGTTTGCATGTAAATTACAATAGCAAAATGCAAACTATAACACCGAATAAAGACTAAAGCCCTGTGAGAATTTTGTTGCAGTAATGTATAGCATAACAAAAATCGACTAAAGCCCTGTGACACTTTTCCTGTTTTTTTAACAATGTACTGAATTTATAAGAAATTATGAATTGGCAAGCATATACCAGTACACAAAATAACTGCATGAATTTAGAATATATTAGAAAATAGTTCATATCAAAATTCAACAAAAATATAATGCCACAAATAAAAAAAAAAGTTATGCTAAACATAAGTAAATGTCATAAAAAAATTCTAATTAAACTCAACGGTATCCTCGTCATCCCAGAACTGATAATTAAAAGTTACTCGAGTGCGATAATCCCACTTGCTGCAGTGTTTCTCACTAATGGTTGTTGCATGCACAACTGCCTTGCCATATACAAGACAAAAATCCCACAATCAACCAAATCTTGTTTTTGTTGAGGCGATGTTGAAACATAATATGGCTTTGTGCTACCGTGCAAATAGATTTGGCTTGATTCATCGTTACTTTCCGCTTTTTGAAGAGGCAAATGATTCATCTACTTTCCTCTTCCCCTTCGTCAAATCAACTGTTCAATTGAAAAAAAAAATTATTGCACAACCATTTCGGTACCTATAATCCATGTACATCGATTGCACATAATAATATGCAAGGTGCATTTGGTAACATCAAATGTAAATTGTAATTTTGAAACAATAAAATGCAATTTAAAAAGCACAAGATGACTAAGAATATACCAAAGTTCAAATGAAATATACAATATCAAAGATTACATCATATATGCAAAATGCAAAATGCTAAATAAACATCAAAGTGCAAAATAAACATCAAAGTGCAAAATACACTAAGCTAGAAACAACAAATTGCAAACAAAAAAAAAAACAACGAAATCGAATATATGTTGCAATCGACACCAGAAAATAACATGAACACAACAAAAAAAAAACAAATGTATCACAAAACAGCAAAATGAAAACACAAAATAATGTAACACAAACCAGGAAACTCCAAACAAACAATCAACGAATTTAGGAGGAAAAAGACAAATTCAACAAAATAGCAAGTGCCAAGTGCCAATTGTAATTTCAAACAGCAATACACAGTTTCAAAATTGCAACATAACTAACAACAATACAATAGAATGTTTGCAAAAATTGACATGCCACCAAAGTTTAATGAAATATACAAAATACAACATACAATACAACAGTAAGTGCAAAATACATAATAAATATCAAAGTGCAAAATACACATAAAAACAGCAAAATAATAAACAAAAAAAAAATATTATTTGCAGAAAACGAAGTTATTACCTGGGGTCGTAGGCTCCAAATCTCTATCTTTCACTTCATTCATAAAAAAACCCATAGTATTTCGTCAATGAATCGCGATTTTAAAAACAAAAAATACAAAAAAAATGAAATATATAGCAAATTACCTGTACGTTTTCGATTTCGCGCCATCTTCTCCGTTTCCAAACCTACAGACTCTCCATCGATCTCAACAATAAGGTGCTATGATTACAAAGTTTGGGTTGAACGAAAGGGGCGAGAGTTTTGCATGTTTCAATTTGACGAGATTTGCAGATCTTTCCCTTCGGTGGCGGTTTGCTGAATTACAGGTTCTCCGTCGATATAATAAACAAAGAGTAATTTTACTGTCAAGCACAATAAAATTATTGTCAACAGTCAGCTGCGGCGGAAAAAAACAGCATAAAGAAAAAAAAAAAAAAAAGACAACGCTAGTCTCTAGCGGCGGAACAAAAAAATAATTAAGAAAAAAATCAGAATCGGATTTTTGTGGTCAAAATTGATGAAATTGAAGTTCAATAGAATTACAATTAGAAATCGAGTTTAATGGTTGATGGTAATTTTGTCATAAATATTAAGTTTGTCTTAACAAGATGGGTTTATTGGCAAAAAAAAAAATTACCTAAACCAAAATTAATAAGGGTTTATTTGAGATAGCCCCTCACTAACTTACTTCATGTGCGATAAGCCAAGCATTTTTATGTTTTTGACCCAGTTGTTGTAAGTTTCATTTGATATAAATCTAAATAATTAGTTTATACTCTTTTCAAACTCTAATTAGGGTTGTATTATCTTATTTATTTTGATTCTTATTATTTTTTATTTTTTTATTATTAAAACAGTAATTTTTCAATATTTTTTCGGCGGTGACCGGGTGGTCGGAGCTCCGGTTAGTTGACTCAATATTAGTTAACTTCAACTTAAGTTGACATTCCATTTTGTTTTCTTTTATCTTCATTAGTTAACTTCAACATTAGTTGACATTAGTTAACTTCAACATTAGTTGACATTACAGTTTTTTGTTATCTTCCTTTTTTTTTGGTGGCGGGTCGTCGGAGGTTTGTAGTTGACTTGCATTATAAGTATTAACTGATTTCATTATTAGCTGACGTTCAACTTTTTTTTTCAGCAACGAGGCGTTTGAGCTCTGATAAGCTGATTATGCATTAGTTGAGTTCGCATGAGCTGACTTTGCATTAGTTGAAATCCGACTTTTTTTTTCACCCTTTTCTTTTAAGACTTTTTTTTCGGCGGCGAGTATTTAGGGCTCCGATTTGCTGACACCCTACTGTTTAGTGTTGAAGTCAGCTAATCATAGCTCCGATGATCCGCCACGGGAAAAATAAATAAGGTCGAATGTTAACTAATATTGAAGTTAACTTATTAGTGTTCAGTCATGTAATTAATCGGAGATTCGACAATCCGCTGCCGGAAAGAAAAAAGAATAAAAAATAGATGTCAACTAATGTTAAAATTAGCTAATGTTGAGTCAGCTAACCAGAGCTCTGAAAACCCACCACAGGAAATAAAAAAGTTAAAACAAAAAAAAAAGATAAAAAAAAATGAAATATCAACTAATGTTGAATACTTGAAGTTAACTAATGATGAGTTAGCTAAACGGAGCTCCGACAACCCATATCACCGCTGCAAAAAAGAATTTAAAAATAAATAAAATAAAAAAAGAGTCGGATCAGGCCGGACCTGGTAGGTGGATTGGGATGAGATAGGGTGAGTTGGATTTATCTCAAATTGAAATATGTAGAGCTATTTTGAGAACTCATGTTTCTATAGATTTACTTAAAATGAAAATTAAAGAGTTTGATTGATTAATAGTAAACTTGCAAACTTCATTTCATAAACCTAGTTCAAACTCACTTACTAATAAAAGTTACTGATCATGACCTTATCGCAAAACACCATTATAATATGACTTTTCATGTAAAGTAACGCAACCAATTTATGACAATTTTAAATAAGATGTTTTAAATAAGTTAAGCTAAACGGGCTCTAATGCACAACTCCCAAGACTTGGTGTCCAAGTTAGTGGGTTCTAACAATTACAATGTTTATAACAAACGAAAATCATGTAATCCCTCATTCCGGTTTTATTTGTCGTTTGAGCTGATGCACACGTATTCAGAAAACTAATAAATGTGCATGGATTACAGAAAAATCATAATAAAATGACTAAAAAATCATTTTTTTTAATACAATAAATGCTTCATTGGAAATTCAAAGTGACAATTATTTTGAAATAAAAAAATTTCTCTAGAAACACAAATAAAATGGAAACGAGAGAGTAATAATTACATCATGATTAAGACGGAGGAAGTTTAAGAATAAAGGGGTTGATGGATCAATGACTTCACATCCTCCATTATTTGTTGCGGGGAAGTAAATTCATCACCACCACTAGATGAGTACAAATAATAACCCATTTTGCATATCTCTGAGAACAAATCCTTGCATTTTCTTGGAACAATGGTTTCTCTCTTATAAACCATTCTCAGCAGTTTTCTCCGATTATACTCTATCAATTTTTCAATCTTCGAAACAGCCATCTCTTCGTTTTCATCGTCTGATTCTTTTAGAATGCTCACCGCATTTACCCTCCTTTCTTCCTTCTCCTTCTGCCAACACATATCATTAAGGGTAAATTACATTTACATCCCTGAGGTATGCTAAAATACTTTTAAGGTCTCTGTAGTGTCTTACAATCACTCCTGAAAACATTGGTAGAAACTCTAACCAAATAATATATTAGACAAGTTATTCCACTAGGGTTGTAACTGACTATTAGTTTCAGACAGTGGTTGAGACAACATAGAGCTAGGGGGGGGTGACATGACTCTCCTAGCATTAACGGCCCTGCGGGTAACAAATATAGTGCATATTGGACTTCATGACAGGAAATCTTGGCTCCAGTAATTGTTTAAGGGATTAGTGTGTAATTACCAATACCACAAGAACATTAAAGTTATCTTAGCATACCTTCATGAGTATAGGTGTAGTTTACCCTTAATTTAGAGTACCATGCATACATAACACATGCATGTTTACGTAATAATTAATTATATATTGAAACATTTTACTCCATCTGTTCCACAATATTTGTCACTTTTGAGAAATTTGTTTGTTCCATAATATCAGTTACTTTAAATTTTCAACACTACATTCATTACTTAATTTTCAGTCCTTATTAACTATTTCCATCACTATTTTTTAACTCAGTTTTCTCTCTTATTAATTAATCCCTCTGTTCCATAATATCTGTCGTTTTGGAGAATTTTTTTTATTCTATATTATCTGTCACTTTAAATTTTCAACACTTCATTAATTACTTAAGTTCCAGTTTATACCATTATTAACTCTTTTCAATACTCTTTTTTCAACTAATTTATCTCTCTTATTAATTATAATATGACAAGGTCATTTTAGTCTAAAAGCATGCATTTTTCTAAAATCAAGACACATTTAATGAAATTCTTAATCATTGTGAAAAGCTAAAAAACGACAATTCAAATGGAACGGAGGGAGTATAAGATAAGGTTATATGGGTCTAAAAACATACATTTTCCTAAAATCAAGGCACAATTAATAAAATCCTTAATCCTTGTGCAAAGCTAAAAACGACGATTAAAAGGGAACGAAGGGAGTACCCGAGAAGATTGAAGATCGTTAAGCAGGCGGTTGACCGTGCCAACATGCATGCACAAGCTAATACATTCCTCACTCAAAATCGTTTCTTCAGATAATTTTATACCAAGGAAATATATGGAAGTGAGTATGCATATTTCGGTACCGACCGATATCCGAGCAAAAGACAAGTACATCCAAGTTTATCGCATCATCTTCGCACCATGTATCGAATTCCTTTACGAAACTCGTTAGAATTTCAACCCACTGCAAAGAAACATTAATATATTAGTTACTCCAAAAATTAAATTATATAACACAATATAATGTAGTACTAGCTAGCTTACGAGGCTAATCAGATGATGTTTAACACAACGGCCTTGTGCCACGTAAGCCATTTCCGCTAACTCGTTTACAGTGCGGTACACCGCTGTAAAGAGTATCTCAACTTCTTGGAAACCGTATTCTACGGTTGGCTTCTCATTCCACCTATTATTAATCCATGATTTTTTTTTTACATAAATAATTGCGTATACACAACATATATAGTAGTATATAATTAGCTCATTAAATCAATAACATAAGGAATGAACAACATACTCTTTTACTAAATCTAGGATCTTGTATGATTCTTCTCTAGAACCATGTTGATCGAAAAAATCATCGATACGTGCTATAAGCACAACGTTTTTGGCAAATGACATGCGAGCATCGACCAATTGACGATCGCCAAAAATTGCTGAAGCCATAAAATGGGCCATACGTAATGCATCTCGTCCGAAGTTCAAGCGGTCCAACCCGCAATCGCTGTACCACCTGTATGTATATGTACATAGTTATGTTCAAATTTTTAACAATAAAATCTTGTAAATGTATCGCTTAATATAATATATATGTTGCGGAGATAATATATATATATATATACCTCTCTAATCGTTGAAACTCTTTCTGATGCAAAGCTTGGCATATGTTAAAATCTTGCCTTGAATATATAAGAAACTCTTCGTTGTATATCGTGGGGCACCTATTCCACGCGGAGAAGAAACATGCAGAAACAATACGTTCTTGACCATTTAATTTTAGTTTTATTTGTGACATGATCAATTACTACTATATGTAAGTATTGGAATGTTTATTACCTATATGCAGCTTTCATAACATGGTAATTCTCCACGTCGTATAGATCAAGGCTTCGTCTATTTCCAATTCGTCCTAGTATGCCGTGGAAGTTCTTCAACTCGTATTCCACCTTATAATTTTGATAGCACACAACCATTTTATTTTTGAGAAAGTTAAACTCAGATGATCACTAATATAATCAAGCAAAATATTAATTAATACTAATTGCGGTGAGTACACGCTATCGTAGCTATTACCTTTTCTTGCAATTTCTTGTCAGGAATGGTTTCACTCAGCAACTGCTGCTTCAGAAATGTGGTGGTCCATTCGTTTATAGCGTCGAGATTTGTTTCGTCTTCATGTATTCGTATTTGTGATGCTCTATATAGCTCGAGAATCGTACTCACGCTAGTCGTTTGTAGGCTAATGTGATCTCGCTCCGCATACGGAACCAGAAAATCTGAACCAATCAATCAACTTTATTGTTTGATGCACATGAATATTTGCTGAAATATATATATATATATATATATATATATATGCGACATGCAAAATTAAAGTACCTGATGAGACTTCGAATCCTTTGATGCGCAATAGTCTAAATGCGACAGCACAACAAGTAATGTCTTTGAAAATCTCTTCTTCTTTATATAGCCATAGCCTGATGATCAGCCAATCACCAGTTTTAATATATAATCACATATGCATGGGAGCATTTATTGTTGTTTTAGTAAGCATTGCGTATCTACATGTATGTATAATGTATGATAAGATACATGAACAGTTAGACACATGTATATCTAGTATTTACAATGAATCTTATTCAATATGATGCCTGTACGACTTTTAATTACCTAGACTGGTATAAATAGGTGTGGAGATTGTATTTGTAATTCAACATGTTTTAGGAAGAGTAAAATATGAAGTAGGAGATGTGCTCCTTAACTATTTCTTTGTTTATGTTGTTCACATATTTTCGCAAAATATCCAACGTGGTATCAGTGCCCGGTTGATCATAATCAACTAGGGAGGTAAAAAAACCTTCCAGATAAAGAATTAATCGATTGACCACACATTCAATTTGATTGAAGAAAAAAAATCAAAGGGAACATTGTTAAGTGTATATTTTTACACTTTATCGTATCTTTTTATTTGAGCTTTTGGTGTGTTTTAATGATAATTGGTGCTTAAAAAGTTGATTTATTGTATTTTAGGTGCAAATTGAAGAATCGGCAAATTATGGGGTGAAAACTGCAAATTCGGAGAAAAAGTGGGCCAAAAGTGAAAAAATCAGATTTCTGAAGAATTGAAGACCGCACGGCCGTGCGGATTTTTAAGCCTATTCTCACACGACCGTCCGAGATCCCGAAGTGGCGCAGTAAAGGGATTTTAATTGCACAAGGAAACTGCCTTCTTCCCCAAGTTCTTCACCCTATATAAGACCAAGCCAAGCACACAATTGGGGATCCCTTTTTACGCAATCTCAAGAGCAACAAAGCAATAACGAAGACGAAGAATTCGAAGACTCCAAGCATAGATTTATCGTCTATGATTTATTTTATTTGCGTTTTTCCTTTAATCATGAGTAGCTAAATTACTTATTTCTAGGATTTTATTTGGAACCCTATGTGGGATTTATGAACCCAATTCTATGATTTTATACAAGTTTTAATTCCGGATTATTTCTTCTACTTGTTATATTAAGTGCATGAACTTGATCAACTTATGTGCTTTTATGTTATTGTTAATCGCATGAATCGGAAGATCGGGTTAATAATTAGAACTGTGGTAGAAGAGCCTTTGTGGTATTAACATAGGAATATAGTTAATCTCTTAGGTAGCCATTATTGAGATTTGTGTTTAATGCTGTGTTCTAGAATTAATTGCATAGGAATATAGTAATTGAATCTAGAGTATTAGAATCGTAATACACGCGGAAGCGGGTTATGATTATTTTAGCATCTCAGGTTAATAATCCGGGTTAATAACTTGCATAATTGAAGGAATTGGGGGAATAATAATCACATAGGGGGAAGAATAAAATCCTAGGCTTGTCTACTTTGATTGATCTTCGTTTTAAATTGCTTTCTTGTTTTTGCTTGCTTTTAATTTAGTTAAATTTAGTTAATTCTCTCTAAAATTCGACTGTGTAGGGTGGGCTTGATAATAATTGGTAGAATTTAGCGTCTAGGATTAGATAATTAAATATTCCCTGTGGGTTCGATATCCGGACTTTTAGTCCACTATATTACTTGTACGATACGTGCACTTGCGTGTAGGTTTTCGCCCAACAAGTTTTTGGCGCCGTTGCCGGGGACTATTTTAATTATTTATTTTATTCTAGCTCTATATTTGAACAATTTTCACGATTCACCCATTTAATTTTTGTTTTATTTTATTTTTGTTTTAGGTACGGTGTATGCCGAGGAGACTCGATCTTGCTAGAGAACCGTTTGATCCCGAAATCGAACGCACTTTTCGAGCCGCTAGGAGACGTCAACACGCCACCAATACAATGGAGGACGAAGAACGCATACGCGCAGAGGGTAATTTAATCAATGCCAATGGAAACCAAGTCCAAGACCCACCCCCTCAACTTCCGTTACAGCCAGCAGCTAGGCCACGGGCGCTTCAAGATTACATAATCCCGACTCATGACGGATTCCGCCCTAGCATCCAATATCCACCCATTGAGGCGCACAATTTTGAGATCAAGCAAGGCCTTTTGACGATGCTCCAAAATAACGGGCTATTTAGTGGATTGGCGGGTGAAGACCCCCATCTTCACATTGTCAATTTTCTAGATACCTGTAATTCCCACCGTCAAAACGGCGTTTCCCAAGAGGCGCTTCAATTAATTCTCTTCAAGCACTCGTTACAAGGAAGAGCTCGCCAGTGGTTGATGTCCCAAGCCCCCCACTCTATCTCGTCGTGGCCTCAACTCCTCAACCTTTTCATGAAAGTCTATAGCTCACTCGAGAAGGACGAGAGAATCCGACGAGAAATTCACAATGTTGTCCAAGAGCAAGGTGAGCAATTATACGAGGCATGGGAGAGATTTAAAACTCTTTTGCGGCAGTGTCCAACACATGGAGTCGAACAATGGTGGCAAATCCACATCTTCTACCAAGGGATTAACGAGAATGCACGAACGGTCTTAGATGCATCCACCGGGGGAAATTTTATGAGTCAATCGATATCGGATGCTTTCATCATGTTGGATCAAATTGCTCAAAATCGGTTTGCCAAGTCAAGCGAGAGGACGGTTAGTGGAGCCAAGAAAGTTCCCGGAGTGTTGGAGTTAGATGCAATTACGGCCCTTCAAGCTCAAGTGACCCAAATTGCTCAACAAAATCAACTCCTTCTACAACACATCAAAGCAAATCCACCACAACAAGTCCAAGCCGTTGAGTCTCCATGTTGCGAAATTTGCGGGGGAAATCATTACACACTCCAATGCCAACAAGATGTGGAGTCGCTCAACTACGTCAACAACGCGCCTCGCCAATTTCAAAATCAAGGGTGGAGATCACAAGGGCAATATGGAGGAAATCAACAAGGCCAAGGATATCAAAGACCTCAAGGTCAATTCCAAAATCAAGCCCCTCCTCAACAAAGCTATCAAGGCAACAATCCACCGGCCCAAAAATCAAACACGGATGAGATATTGGCCCAATTCATGACCGCTACCCAAGCCTCGTTGCGAAATTTGGAGAATCAACTCGCTCAATTAGCTTTGAAGCAAGAGAACCGCCCGCCGGGAGCATTGCCATCGAATACGGAAGATCCTCGAAATCAAAAGTTCGAGACGTGCCAAGCTATCGATGTCAAGAGCGAAAAAAGGGAAGAAATTCAAATCAAGCCGCAAGTCACTGTAGCCGAATGGGTCGAGCCAATCCCATATCCACAAAGATTGCTAACGAAAAAGATCGAGGTCGAGACATGCCAAGCAGTCACCTTGAAGAACGGTAAGCAATTGGAGGAAGCCCCACGAAAAGAGAAGAGAAGCACGGTAATCGAGAAGCCGAAAAAGAATGAAGAAAAAGAATCATCTCATGACGAGCCACCATCGACGGTGCCTTCACAAGTCCCTCCAATTCCTTATCCTCAAAAGTTTATAAAGAAGAAGCTCGATGCCGAATATCAAAGGCTCTGTTTGGTAAGCTTTTGGGCTTACATTTCCATTATATTTTGGGGAAAGATGTTTTGGGAGAAGAATTTGAAAATTAAATAAAGTTTGTTTGTGTTTTGGGAGGAGACAATTTGTACTGTAGCAAGTCAAATCATGTCTGAAAGGTGTTGGAAAAAGGTATTTTGGAAGAAGAATTTAAAAGATAAAGTGATTTGATTTTGTATTTTAGTGAAGACAATTTTCACTGTAGCAGTCAAATCATGTTTGTTAGAGAGAGAAATATTTGAATTTGTTTTGGGGAAAGATTTTGAAAATAATGTGAAAAGATAATTTTCATTTTGGGGAAAGTGTGAAAAGAATTTGGAAATGCTAACAAACATAACCAATGTAATTGAAGAAAATGCCAACTCTCTTGATAAATTTGATCCGGCAAATTGGATCAATATAAATATAAAATTACGAGATTTACTAGTGGAAAAATGTCCTATTAGAATTACTAATATAGATTTTCCAAAAGATTGTGATGGTAGACATTTCTCTATTTCAAGTTATATTCGAAATTTACCTAATCGAGAGAAATATGATAGGAGATGGCTCGTATATTCAAAGAGTGTAGATAAAGTATTTTGTTTTTGTTGTAAGTTGTTTAGCATTAAAACTACTTCAAGTAACTCTTTTGGTGGCGGCGTTAATGATTGGAAAAATACTAATACTATATTAAAAACTCATGAGACATCTAGTGAACATATTAATAACATGTATGATTGGATGAATTTAGAAACAAGATTGCGAAGCAATAAACCAATTGATCATATTATACAAGAAAACATAAAGAGAGAAAATGAACATTGGAAACAAGTATTGAAAAAAATTATTGCGGTTGTGAAAACTTTAGCTAAAAATAATTTGGCTTTTCGTGGGATAAATGAAAAAATTTATGACAATAACAATGGAAATTTTTTAAGTCTAATTGAAATGATTGCGGAATTCGATCTTATAATGCAAGAATACCTTAGGCGCATTAAAGATAGGGAAATACTTATTCACTACCTCGGGCATAATATACAGAATGAATTGGTGCATATGTTAGCTTGTGAATTAAAAAATAATATTATTAAGAGAATTAAAATGGTTAAATATTTTCTATTATTCTTGATTGTACTCAGGATACAAGTCATCAAGAACAAATGTCTCTTATTTTAAGAAGTGTGAATATATCTTTGAATCCTATTCAAATAGAAGAATATTTTATATATTTTTTTGAAAATAGATGATACAACGGGAAAAGGTATTTTTGATGAACTTCTAAATGTAAAAAAAAATCTTGAACTTGATATTGATAATGTGAGGGGTCAAGGATATGATAATGGTTCAAACATGAAAGGTAAAGAACAAGGTGTGCAAAAAAGATTGTTAAATATAAATTCTAGAGCATTTTACACTCCTTGTGGTAGCCATAGTCTTAATTTAGTAATTTGTGACATGGTCAATTCTTGTCATAGAGCTATATCTTTCTTTGGAGTCCTACAACGTATATATACTATATTTTCTAGTTCCACAAAGAGATGGAAAATATTGACGGATAACGTAAGAAAATTAACAGTTAAACCATTGTCACAAACACGGTGGGAAAGTCACATTGAAAGTGTTAGAGCCATCCAAAGTCAACCTATCGAAATAAGAGATGCTTTGATTGAATTGGGAGAAACTTCCTTCGATCCTAAAATAAAGAGTGAACCTAAATGCTTAGCCACTTATGAGATTGAAAATTTTGAATTTTTACTTAGCATGAATATTTGGTTTGAATTGTTACATGCCGTTAATTGTGTTAGCAAAAATTTACCATCTAAGGATATGCACATTGACTTCGCTATAGATCACTTGCAAGGTCTTGTATCATTTTTAGAGGATTTTAGCGAAAATGGGTTTGAATTAGCTATTAATGCTACTAAAGAAATTGCTTTAAAGATGGGAATTGAACCATTATTTCGAGAAAAACGTGTAATGCATAGAAAAAAAAACAATTTGATGAACTCAAAGTAATGATACTGTATTATCACCTGAAGAATCATTTAGGATAGAATATTTCTTATATATCGTAGATCAAGCTATCTCTTCAATTAAAGTTAGATTCGAGCAATTTAAACAATATCAAAATACATTTGGATTTTTATTGAATATAAAAGATTTAAAGTCTTTAGATGATAACACTTTGAAAGAAAGTTGTATTAATCTTGAAAATTCTTTACAACATAACTCATTATCTGATATTGATTGTTCGGATGTATATTATGAATTAAAAGTGTTAAGAAAAGTCATACCTTCCGAAATAGATAAACCAATTGATGTACTTAATCATATAAAAGTTATTGATTCTTATCCTAATACGTGTATATGCTATAGAATAATATTTACAATACCGGTAACAGTTGCTTCGGCCGAAAGGAGTTTTTCAAAGTTAAAATTAATAAAAACATATTAACGTTCAACTATGTCACAAGAACGATTAAGTGAATTAGTATTTTATCTATAGAAAAAGATTTATTAGAAGAACTAGAATATGAAGATCTAATTAATACATTTGCATCTATAACAGCAAGAAAAATAAATTTTACATCAGATAAAAAAAAATTATGGCTTCATTTTTGGGTTTCGCCTAGGGCCGGCCCTGCATCGCGGCGGCGGAAGCTGTGGGAACTGGACTACGGGGAGTAAGTGATGAACGGGAAAGAAGAATTAGAATCAGGGAAAAGAAAGGGAGAAAAAAAATTGAAAGAAAAGAAAAAAATAAGAAGAAAGATGAAGAAACGGGGAAGTCAAAGGGAGAAAAGAAATTGAAAGAAAAGAAGAAAAAAAAGGATGAAGAAACGGGGAAGTCAAACCCAGCAAAGTTGGAAATGAAAAGATAATTTTAGCCCTGTCAATCTCACGTGTGAGCCACATGCTCATAATTACTATGAATTTTGCCGGAATATACCATTTTTAGGGCACCGTGCAACAAAAAGATGAATTTAGGAAAAAACGTGCCAAAATAAATTGTTTGGGGACAAACCGCAAAACGGGCATTAGTTTAAGAGGTAAAGTGCTTTTTACTCTTTATTTGATGGATAATATTTGTATTTGAAAACATGTCATTCAACAATCATTGTTCTAAAGTTAGCTAAAAAGGAACTGCAGTGTTTGATTATACATAAAATAAACTAAATACAACAAAATTGAAAAAAATTATAATTTGGAGTCAAACCACTCGTTCGAAGTTGATCTACATTCAAATTTCAACATTATTTAAATTGTTAAATCAGACAAAACTCATAGTTGTTAGAAACTGCTGATATAAAGTATTTCTAACTGCAGAATAATGACCAAATTTGTTGGTTTTTATTGGGACAATATTAGAATCTACCGAAACTATTTATTTTGGCTTTATTGTGTTGAGAAAACAACATAATTATCATAAATAATTAAAAATGTGATGAAAGTCACATAAATCACCAAAAATGTGAAAAAAAAAAACACACAAATTCCACATATATGATGAAATCGGACAAAATCACCCCAAAATATGATGAAATCGCACAAATAACCCCCCATAAAATATCATAAATGTCGTATTATATCGCAATATTGAATGATATTTACCGGTATTTACGGATGATTAATACATATGCTGATTGTTGAGTGATATCGTTTCTATAAAAACTATATTGTATCACGATGTTGACTATATTATATAGTCGTGTTTTTATAAAAGAAAACAAATTATAATGCAATCAATGAATATAAGATAATATCAATTTCAAACCATTTATAAAATTATTGAATGCAACGAAAAATCTCTAACAATCCATAAAAATGATAATAATAATAATAAAATAAAATAAAAAAGGTACCCATAAAAAATAGTATTTAATTTGTCTATGATGTTTTAATGCATTTATATCACAATACACTCGCATTAATTAAAACTTATAAAATGGATCAAACTCGGGGCCGTCAGAGGAGCCTTCTCCACGACCATAATTGCACGACATATATGCATTGATGGCTCTCGTCGATCCACCTAATTCTTCCCCGTCTTCCACCGTGCCAGCAACAGGCGGCTGTAAGGGGACATAATACCCCATCGTCGGCGCCGCCGGTGGTGCTGGTGCTGGTGGCGACCGCACCATATGAGCACCTTGTGGCTACTGCTGGTGAACGAAGCAACCATTATCGTCGTCACGCCTAACAAACTGCCCCAACTGATTCATGGAGCCTCGCTCGAGGTCCTGCTGGGCTCGATGCTTATTGAGGAAAACAATGAGGGGCTCTATGTAGTCGCCGAAACCCAACGACATCATTGCCGCCAGCACGTCCTCCGGCGTGACAGTTTTTCGGTAGTCGCGGTGGCACCGGTTGTTCGCCTCTGCAGTAATGAAGTTGATGAACTCGGAGACGCACACTTGGATGGCCTCCTTTGCATCATCAGCGATTTTAACGTGGTCGGGGACGACGCACCGCATGATGCGAGTGATATTTGTTGTCGGCATGTATTGGTCTGCCTCTCTTTTGACGCCTTGGTCTTGCTCTTGATTCACCTCGCCGGGCGTGGCATTGGTTGGGGCGGCCGGGATGTTGACAGCATTGGTGGCGGCGGCGACGGCGTTGGTGAAGCCCCCTTCCCTAATGACAATGCCTGAAATGATATATTTAAATTTGTAAATAAAATATACACATGACAATGTATCACATAATATAGAGGGATGCCATATAGAATCGACATATGCAATGCAATAAAGAAAAATAATACTTTTCAAAACTATAAAAGCGAAATAAATTTAAAAACTCGAACTTATTCAAAAAAAAAAAACATGTATAAAATTGAGTAGCCAATTTTATGTTACTTGTTGTTCATGTTTTATATATGACCATCTTTTAGTATCGTCATTGTGTACAAAAAGCAGAGCATATTGCTATGACGAAATTATGAAGTGGTTGGATTTTTGTCCAATAACTAACAACAATTTGTTATGTAAAAATCACGTACAAAAAACTCACTTTTATTGCACTAATCTCTCACACACTGTGATATTCTATTATATGTTATATTGTAATTCATGTTTTATTTTATTTAAAATAATTGTGTATATGAATATATTGATGATGTCATTAATATACATACACCATTTATCGATAAATGAAATGCAACTATATAATACATATATGAAATAAATATTCATCGAATTGACTAAAAAATGAGGATTATATTGAATTAATTTCCTCTTTTTATCACAACCAATTTTATCCACATTAATTAGAACCCTTTCTGATTTGATCCGTGTATAATCACATTTGTTTAGTGATAAAATAAAGAATTAATCTTAATTGTGAGAAAAATGTTGATTGAATATATTAAAGTACTGATTACAATGCATTGGATTATTTTAAAAAAGAAAAAAAAAATTAAGATGAAACGAGGAAAATTGAAATCCAATCACTACATGAACTATATTGATTTTTTTTTAGTTAATGTTTGTTCTATGCTAGACAAAACAAATTCAAAATATCATGAAAAGTAAAAGATGTCAAACATAATAAAGAAATCCGAATAGACTGTGCTACAAAAAAGCGACAAAAAAAAAAATTTCATTTTTTTATGCAATTCTCACAATTCGCTAATAGAAGATCGATTCGTGAAAAAAAAATTAAAAGAGTACCATAAAATTAAAAAAAACTTTACTCGTCAAACATAAAAAAAAATCGGAATAGAATGATATACGAAAGCGAAAAATAAAATCGTCCATTTACCCAATTCACGCAAGGAGATCTGTGAAGCATCAAAAAGATTTGCGAACTAAAATCGCACAAATGTGCTGATAAAAGATCGATTATCAAAAAACCAAATCCAACGAATTAACACGTTTTTTTACTGCGACAAATAAGACACGTGAACATAATAAACCCACAAATCTATGCACATTGATCATATAGATTTAGTCTTAAAAACAAAATATTAGGAAAAAGGAGTGCATTTTTTACCAGATGCGCGTGCTCTTCTGGTGTACTTATGTTCTATGTTTGAGCTTCCTCTTCTCTCAATTTCTTCAAGTTTTGCTTTTGATTCAAACTGTGTGTTTTTTCACCTTATCTCCTTTGTTCACACAAATGTAACAAAATAATTTTTTATGACTCTTACTCTTGTTTGTGTGATGAGCTGTGAAGCGTCAGAGGCACAATTGCATTCATTATATAGATAAGTGAGACCTTTATAATGAGTCCACAAGTGTGAAATTAGGGTTGTGGAAGCTAGAGGCAAAATGGGCAAAAATATTAATTGTTGTTTATAAAACTTAATATATATGGGTATCAAGCAAAATTGACAAAAATAAGTTAAAAAATTTGCAGAAATATAGTGTAAATCCTATGAGGCAATATTAGATGTATATATTTTTTGCAGTCCCAATTATTAATTGTAATAAAATAAATGGAATTAATCTTGATTTTGATGGTATCAACTACTCGTCGCTCAAATGCTAATATAGAAATAATTCAAAAATTTCGCTAGGTGGGGACAGACACGACTTAATTACGACAACTATTTAATCCGTCTTAAAAGTGAATTCTTGAATTGTTATGATAATAACATTTTCCAAATCTTGTAAAGTTGTAAGGTTAAAATTATTGCATTTATTTATTTTCAAGGTTGAACATCTAATTTTTATATTTTTCGAATTCTAAAAGCAAATAAAATATAATATAACATATTGAGGTCAGATGTTTCATTAAGTAAGTCATATTATACGAGATAGAGTTCATAAAAATCATCCGACTCCGATATAGCAAAATATCCATTTGCAAGATCTTTTTTTTTCTCTATTTTGTGGTCATTGTCAGCACTCGAGTGGAAACTCTTGAATTCAAACAAGTACATATTTTGTTATAGAAATTTTAATAAAGGAGTGTTGTGTTAAAAGAAAACATTAATTTAATATTAATTACCATTTATTATGAATGTTTAAAGTCTCATCGTCTTCTTTGTATTTTTTTATTGTCTAGAGTTAATTGTTTTATTTTAAAGTCTGTAATGAACTTCATATTCATGGCCGATGATTGGAAAATAATTGTAAGTACTGAAATGGTCTTAATTGACGAGGAGGTTGTGAGTGATTTGTCATGTTTTTATATGGAAATTTGCACATGTGATCCCTCAAGTTTACAAGGATTTACATCTGGTCCCCCATGTTCACGGAAAACAGTTCAATAATTTAACACGTTTTGTCCTTTCCATCATTTTTAACGTTAGTCCGTCAGTTAAGACAATATTGGACACATGCTTGATCCCATTATTATTGACGAATAATTGACGGAAATGATTAAAAATGTTGAATTCTTGAAATATGAGGGACCAAATGTGTTTTAAGCGAACATGGGGGACCAAATGTGAAATTAGTGCAAACTTCAGGTGTGAAATTTGTATTTTTCCATATTTGATATATTGACTTTAAGATTCATATTTTATAATATGGTGGCAAAATACAAGCTGTATAAAATGAAATCACTTGGAGTAAATTAGTGGAACGTATAAATGAATGTAATAGTTGTAGCTATAATATTCTAATTCATTATATTATACGCCTGATTAATTGTGTTAAAGCTACAAATATAACCAATTTCATTGGTTTTGTGCATACTTATGAAAATTCTATTTTTAAAAAGGAAAAAAACAAATTGCATCCCTCAATTTTGCATCTGTTTCACATTTGATCTCCATGTTCACAAAAAACACATTTGGTCCCTCATATTTTAAAAATTCAACTCTTTTAATCATTTCCGTCCATTTTCCGTTACTAATAACGGAATCAAGCATGTGCCAACACCGGATAATTGACGGATTAATGGTAAATTGACCAAAAGTGTTAAATTATTGAAACATGAGAGACCAAATATGTTTTTCGTGAACATGGGGACCACAAGTGAAACCGGTGCAAACTGAGGGGTGAAAACTGTAAATTTCCCACTTTAAAAATATGCAAATTTTGTGGTTTTTGAATGAAAAGTTTGGCTAAAAAATGGTAATTAATGTTGTATTTCGAAGCAATAAATAAATAAAGTTTTATGATATATAATCTTGTTATTCTTCCCGATTTAATTTCGTTGAGATTAGTAAATAGTTCGATTTCATTATCAAAACCATGCTCCATGTTGTTATTCATTCAAGATCAACACGTTCAACTTACATCAAGTATGATAACGTTAAATAGTTATATGATATGCTCTTATCATGATGCTCTAAAGGTCCCTAATAAACATGTACTAAGTAATTAAAATGATAATACACATATATTTATGTTATTATTAGATCATCGATTAGAACTATTTTTTCCTATTTTTTTTTTATAAATACGTATGTAACGTGCATCGCACGAGAGCAATACTAGTTCAACAATAAGATTCCCAATTACCCTCCGGTTGATTCGAACACATGACCAAATAGATTCCTCATCCTTTCTATACGCTTTAGGGGTAGACTATAAATTCCCAATGGAGTTGTATTGTGAAATTGCACATAATCCTGTTTAGCATGATCGAACTAAGAATGTTAAAATAGATCGTCATTTTATCAAACAAAAACTTGATCAAAGGGTCATATGTTTTCCTTTTGCCAAATCTGCTAATCAACTCGTTGATGTCCTCACCAAGGCAGTATCAGGCAAAGAATTTCACAACATGATAGACAAGTTGGGCATGATAAACATCTACTCACCAACTTGAGGGGGACTGTTAGCCGAGAAGATTTGTGTAGATCCCAAGATTGTAGGGAATTTTATTTATTTTCATTGTACACTTGATTCTCCTTCTTAGAATAGGAGTTTTATTCTTTTTCTCTTCTTATATATGTACCTCTTTAAAGGATTAATAAAACATACATGAATTATTCTTCTCTTTGATGTGTTCAATAGAAAACATGGGCCTAAATTTATTAATTAGGCCCAAGTAGGGCTCACTTTGACCAAATGAATATTTCCGACTAATGCTTAATCATTGCCGATCCATAATAGCATCTTTCATGATCTTCTCTCTCCCGTCGAAAAAGGAATGATGCTCTCATTTTGTGTGTTGTTTGCCACAGGAAAATTCTCCCTGATTTGTTGGTATTCTTGATTATACGACAAAACCAATTTGTCCCTATCTAGGTGCAAAGATTCCGCCACCTTTCCCGTGAATCCCGTCGCCGGAGGCCCAGATTTCTTGGGTCTCTATGATGAAGATCCAACATCCACCGGAGGTAGTTTCACCCCACCCCGATCAGCACTCTTCGCTTTTCGACTATTGCCTTCGCCGGTTGAATAGCTTACAACCATTCACCATAAGGAGTATCCTCTGGTGAAAGAGTATATTGCATGGCACAACCACCACATATATGATCCAAACAACCACCGGAGATATTCAATTGGATTCTTTATTTTATTTGATGGATAATATTTGTATTTGGAAACATGTCATTCAACAACCATTGTTCTAAAGTTAGCTAAAAAGGAACTGTAGTGTTAGATTATACATAAAATAAACTAAATACAACAAAATTGTAAAATTTTATAATTTGGAGTCAAACCACTCGTTCGAAGTTGATCTACATTCAAAGTTCAACATTATTTAAATTGTTAAATCAGACAAAACTCATAGTTGTTAGAAACTGCTGATGTAAATTATTTCTTACTGTAGAATAATGACCAAATTTGTTGTTTTCAATTGGGAAAATATTAGAATTTACCGAAACTATTTATTTTGGCTTTGTTGTGCTGAGAAAAAAACATAATTATCAAAAATAATTAAAAATGTGATGAAAATCACATAAATCACCCAAAATGTGAAAAAAAAACACACAAATTCCACATATATGATGAAATCAGACAAAATCACCCCAAAATATGATGAAATCGCACAAATAACCCCCCATAAAATATCATAAATGTCGTATTATATTGTGATATCGAATGATATTTACCGTTATTTACGGACGATTAATACATATGCTGATTGTTGAGTGATATCGTTTCTATAAAAACTATATTGTATCACGATATTGACTATATTATATAGTCGTGTTTTAATAAAAGAAAACTAATTATAATGCAATCAATGAATATTAGATAAAATCAATTTTAAACCATCTATAAAATTCTTGAATGCAACGAAAAATCTCTAACAATCCATAAAAATGATAATAATAATAATAATAATAGTAACCTGTCTCTGAGAATAGCACCGGACTGAGGACGAATATAAAATAAAATAAAATAAAAAGGTACCCATAGAAAATAGTATTTAATTTGTCTATGATGTGTTAGTGCATTTATATTACAATACACTTGCATTAATTAAAACTTATGAAATGGATCAAACTCGGGGCCGTCAGAGGAGCCTTCTCCACGACCATAATCCCACGACATATATGCATTGATGACTCTCGTCGATCCACCTAATTCTTCCCCATCTTCCACCGTGCCAACAACAGGTGGCGGTAAGGGGACATAATACCCCATCGTCGGTGCCGCCGGTGGTGCTAGTGCTGGTGGCGACCGCACCATATGAGCACCTTGTGGCTGCTGCTGGTGAACGAAGCCACCATTATCGTCGTCACGCCTAACAAACTGCCCCAACTGATTCATGGAGCCTCGCTCGAGGTCCTGCTGGGCTCGATGCTTATTGAGGAAAACGATGAGGGGCTCTATGTAGTCGCCGAAACCCAACGACGTCATTGCCGCCAGCACGTCCTCCGGCGTGACAGTTTTTCGGTAGTCGCGGTGGCACCGGTTGTTCGCCTCAGCAGTAATGAAGTTGATGAACTCGGAGACGCACACTTGGATGGCCTCCTTTGCATCATCAGCGATTTTAACATGATCGGGGACGACGCACCGCATGATGCGAGTGATATTTGTTGTCGGCATGTATTGGTTTGCCTCTCTTTTGAAGCCTTGGTGTTGCTCTTGATTCACCTCGCCGGGCTTGGCATTGGTTGGGGCGGCCGGGATGTTGACAGCATTGGTGGCGGTGGCGACGGCGTTGGTGAAGCCCCGTTCCCTAATGACAATGCCTGAAATGATATATTTAAATTTGTAAATAAAATATACACATGACAATGTATCACATAATATAGAGGCATGCCATATAGAATCGACATATGCAATGCAATAAAGAAAAATAATACTTTTCAAAACTATAAAAGCGAAATAAATTTAAAAACTCGAACGTATTCAAAAAAAAAAAAAAAACAAATATAAAATTGAGTAGCCAATTTTATGTTACTTGTTGTTCATGTTTTATATATGACCATCTTTTATTATCGACATTGTGTACAAAAAGCAGAGCATATTGGTATGACGAAATTATGAAGTGGTTGGATTTTTGTCCAATAACTAACAACAATTTGTTATATGTAAAAATCACGTACAAAAAACTCACTTTTATTGCACTAATCTCTCACACATTGTGATATTCTATTATATGTTATATTGTAATTCATGTTTTATTTTATTTAAAATAACTGTATATGAATATATTGATGATGTCACTAATATACATACACCATTTATCGATAAATGAAATGTAATTATATAATACATAAATGAAATAAATATTCATCGAATTGCCTAAAAAATGAGGATTATATTGAATTAAATTCCTCTTTTTATCGCAACCAAATTTATCCACATTAATTCGAACCCTTTCTGATTTGATCCGTATAGAATCACATTTGTTTAGTGATTAAAATAAAGAATTACTCTTAATTGTGAAATTTTTTTTGATTGAATATATTAAAGTACTAATTAATTACAATGCATTGGATTATTTTGAAAAAAAGAAGAAGAAATTAAGATGAAACGAGGAAAATTGAAATCCAATCACTACATGAACAATTTTTTTTTAGTTAATGTTTGTTCTATGCTAGACAAAAAAATCAAAATATCATAAAAGTAAAAGATGTTAAACATAAAAAGAAATCCGAATAGAATGTGCTACACAAACGACGAAAAAAAAAATTATGTTTTTATGCAATTCACGCAAGGAGATCCGTGAAGCATCAAAAAACTTAACGAATTTGAACCACACCAAATTCGCTAATAGAAGACCAATTCGTGAAAAAAAAAATTAAAAAAAAGTACTATAAAAATTAAAAAAAAAAAAAAAACTTTAGTCGTCAAACATAAAAGAAATCGGAATGGAATGATATATGAGAGGAAAAAATAAAATCGTTCTTCTACCCAATTCAAGCAAGGAGATCTGTGAAGCAACAAAAAGATTTGCGAACTTAAATCGCACAAATGTGCTAATAAAAGATCGATTATCAAAAACCAAATCCAACAAATTAAAACGTATTTTTTACTGCGACAAATAAGAAACGTGGACATAAAGAAAAAAAAAACAAATCTATGCACACTGTTCATATAGATTTAGTCTTAAAAACAAAATATCAGAAAAAAAGGAGTGCAATTTTTACCAGATGCGCGTGCTCTTCTGGTGTACTTATGTTCTATGTTTGAGCTTCCTCCTCTCTCCATTTCTTCAAGTTTTACTTTTGATTTAACCTGTGTGTTTTTCTCACCTTCTCTTTTTTGTTCACACAAATGTAACAATTTTTTTTATGCCTCTTACTCTTGTTTGTGTGATGAGCTGTGAAGTCTCAGAGGCACAATTGCATTCAATATATAGATATGTGAGACCTTTGAAATGAGTCCACAAGTGTGAAATTAGGGTTGTGAAAGGTAGAGGCAAAATGGGCAAAAAATATTAATTGTTTTTTTCTAGAACTTAATATATACGTGTATGAAGCAAAATTAACAAAAATAAGTTAAAAATTTTGCAGAAATTTAGTGTAAATCCTATGAGACAATATGACATGTATATATTTTTTACACTCCCAATTATTTATTTGTACTAAAATAAATGGAATTAATCTTGATTTGATGCTATCAATTACTCGTCGTTCAAATGCTAATATAGAAATAATTCAAAACTTCGCTACGTTGGGATAGACACGACTTAATTATGACAGCTATTTAATCCTTCTTAAAAGTGAATTGTTGAATTATTATGATATAATAAGATTTTCAAATCTTGTAAAGTTGTAAGGTTAAAATTATTGCATTTATTTATTTTCAAATTTGAACAATTTAATTTTTATATTTTTCGAATACTAAAAGCAAATAAAATATAATATATCATATTGAGGTCAAATGTTTTTTTTAAGTAAGTTAGATTATACAAGATAGGATTAATAAAAATCAACCGACTCCGATATAGCCAAATATGTTAGAGTAGGTGACCAACAAGCCAACTTGTGGCTGTGGTCTTTCCTTTTATTCTTGTAATAAATAACCCTTTTTCGTATTAATGATAAAACACCTTGGCATTCTATATCTTTGTCCCTTGTTTCAACCATAGATATAGTCCTTACAGTTATTACAAGTACTAGGAATTGATCTTTTAGGATCGTGAGATATTCACTTTAGTATTATAACTGTTAAACATGTTCCTAGTCGAAGGGTTACGCCACCAATAAGGATATCGGCTTTTCCCATTAAGAGACTAGCACTTGGTGTATGTGTACTGCATCTCATCAGAAAACGGTATTGTGATATCGGCATGCATAAGTGGGTGCTCGTAAGTAGACGAGTTCACTGAACTCCCTCAGCCTAGAAATCTCTAAGTGGTTCTTAATAATCGAGTAGAGATATCTATGGTATAGCTGTACACCATTAGTCCTTATGACCTAGACATCACCGTGACTTCACTAGAGAACCAGTTGTATCGTGACCTGTCCCTGAGTTCCACCGAGGACCGCGCCAAGGGCCAGTTCGTGCAGTCTGAAATCTAGTGGGAGGTCTGTGCATTGTAGTAGGGGATTCGATCGCTAGAATAGTCTTGGATGTCCTGTGTGTTCTTATAGTTTGTAATCTTTAAGTCTCTGGCCTGAGCTGACTAAGTGACGATTAGAGAATTCGATTCTCTAAGTCATGCACGTACCGATTACAACATGCACTTAGAACGACCGCACAGTTATTGAACTACTAAGGAGGTCTCGATAAACCAATTCCTCTAGTTCGATCGGGACATATGAATCGAAGGGATCGTACTGTACGTTAACTATATCAAAAGGTTATTGCAGGCACTTCATTTGTATATAGGGAATCATGACGCGTAGTTTCTAGACGCCAATCTTGATTCGTTGGGTGATTAAGTTGAAACGAGCTTCATCTTAATCGTAACTCTAAGGGACGAGTTTAGACCACAAAGGGTTGTGGACCCACGGCTAGCTTACACCTGAACCATCGAGGGTCACACTGCTCATGCACTCGAGATCTTTGAATAAACTGTAAAAGATAAAAATATTTAATCTTTGCATGATTGGAAGTCAATGTGACTGGGTCCAACATTCGTAATTTGGAATTGTGAATGAGAATAAGAAAAGGAAAACAATATGCGAACATCTTAGTGAACATTCTAAATTGGGAAGTTTCCAAATTTAGAAAGTCCACTGAATTAGGGTTTCCACTTTTAGAAATTGGAAATCGAGAATTGGCACTCGTAATGACGAGGACATTACAATGATTAAAAAAATGTAATCATTACAATTTTCCGATCATTGAGTTGTGAGAAACGAGCAAGTAAAGAACTAACGAACTTAAGTTGTTGGGCCCGGGCCAACTTAAGCCCGTTAGGGCTTTTATACAAGACACTACAAATACATGATTTATAGGTCTTGCACAACACACAACACATTAATCAAACCCTAGCCGCTCGGATCTCACACCCCTCGGCCGATCCTCACCCACGGCGGTCGCCACCACCGCCGCCTGTCGCCGGAATCGGCAACACGCGCCGTTCGTCGTTGGTAGTTTCTTTCCTTTCGTCGTTTTCTTCCGTCTATTCTAACTTTTGAGTGTCTAGTGCCACGTATTTAATAGATCTAAGTATACGAGGTGAAATCCAAGAGGAGGAATATCAAGGAGCCGAATTACCGAGAAGCCACCGCCGCACGCGCATCCACGCGCCGCCTGAAGACACCGCGTAGATCTGACGCGCCGCCGTCGTTGAGCGCGTCCGTCGCCACCGCACAGCCGCTGCTCCTCCCGACTGCACGGATTGGTTTCTGTGGCAGTTTATTTCGATTCCGATAGTTCGCCTCACGCTTCAAGATACAACGTTTTATTTAATTAAATTAAATTATGTGTTATATGTTTTTCATGAAATTGATATGTATGTTTTACTTGGTCGTTTTTCATGAAATTATATGTATGTATACTACGTTTCGTTGCGAGCATGCTATGTGTTTTAATTATTGAATTAATATGCATGATGTATTTTTATTTTCGCTGGAAGCGTTAAGGTACGTAATTAATTGCTTAATACGAATCGAGCATGTGATTATATGATTTAAATCGTTTATTTCATGTAAAATTTTTGTTTTCCGCTGCGTACACGTGCCCGATTTCCCAACAAATATCCATTTGCAATATCTTTTTTTTTTTCTTTATTTTGTGGTTATTGTCAGCACTCGAGTGGGAATTATTGAATTCAAAAAGTTCATATTTTGTTATAGAAATTCTAATAAAGAAGTATTGTATTAAAAGAAAACATTAATTTAATATTAATTACCATTTATTATAAATATTTACAGTCTCATCGTCATCTTTGTATTTTTTAATTGTCTATAGTTAATTGTTTTATTTTTAAAGTCCATAATGAACTTGATATTCATGGCCGATGATTGGAAAATAATTGTTAATACTGAAATGGTTTTAATTGATATTGCATTTGGTGAAGCCACCTTCCCTAAGAGCATCTCCCACCCATCACCAAATCCTATAATTATCACCTAATTTTGGTGTTTTTAGTCTCCCAACCTAAATTTCTAAATCACCATTACACCTAAAATTATAGTGATTTAGTTTAGTCTCCCACCCTGGTCAAACTCTATATCACTATATACCTAAATCCTATATTTTCAGCAAATTTTTTGGTGAAAAAATTTTCATCTCCCACCCGTCCACCATTTTACCATTTTTTCCACCAAATCCTATTTTTTCTATCAAA